ACGCACCTGCAATAACAACAGCGACAACGCGACAACGGTTCGAATTGCGAAAGACAAGCAGCTAAACCGGGAAGGCGCTCAGGTTGTTGTAGCTGGAACCCAGACCTCAAGGCAGCGGCAGGCGATAAGAGCCGATTACCTGATATCTTATCTCTGGGCGTGACTAATTGGCAGCAAAAACGAGCGCTGAATTGGGCGATGCGAGCGAGCGGACGGAGGGGCGGGCGGACGGGCGGGTGTATAACCCAATTTCATACTCGAGTGAAAAATTGAAATTTCAACGAAATTCACTTGAGGTAGGTTCCATGAGCTGCACAAAAAAAGCCAGCGATTGCATACTGCTAAAACCACAAAGCATTTATGTTCATTTGAATGAACATTTTGTAGAAATAAATCAAGCACGAGAGCACAGAAAAACAAAGACAATTCAAGCTCTCAAATCCAAACTGAACGGAAATAAGAATCAGAATCGGAAGTCCCTCATTCTGCTAGATCGGACCATTACATAAGATAGCTGCCGCAGGAACGAACGGGCGAAAATGAGTTCCTTGATTCAAGCTCCCGAATCGAAGCTAAACAGAAATCTTAGTTGAAAAATGATGATATAAAGTTTGATTCCTATTTTAGGTGCAAGTTTTTGCATTTGTTACTGAAAGCCTGTCGAAAGGTAAGAAATGCATAGATAAGCGATATCACTTAGAATCTGTGATAGATACAAAATATGTGCTCGTAAAGCTTACGAAGTGACAAGAGGTACATGAGGTAGAAGGAGCCTTTCTTTCGCAGGGTAGAGATCCGAAATAAATCAATTCTTTAACATAAAACTCGATGCCATTGCCAACTTAACCTTTAAACAATGGATTGGTTGCTAAAATTTAAATTATCTGCTATGTGACTCAGAGCTCAAGGCACGGGGCTGCCTGTCAATCGACAAACGACACAAATAGAGACCGAGAGAGAGAGAGAGAGAGAGAGAGATTGAGGCAGATTGTCGTCGAGTTAAGAGCAATACAATTGAAGCACGGATTGCTGTCGTTGATGTCGTAGCTATGACAACGCGGAAATTGTTTGCAGCTCTCAAAGAGTTAAAGGGTTGACGCTCGAAGAGTTTCTAGTAGTCAGCAGCAGCAACAACCAGAACAACAAAAACAACCAGAACAACAAAAACAAAAACCAGAGTAACAACAAGAAGCAGCAGCAGAGGCAGCAGCACATCCGACGCTGTCAGTTTAAAATTCAAACGAACTTCCAGCGTAGCAAGAACATCATCATTATGGCTGTCCATTGTCGTTGTTGCTCTTTAAGTTTATATACCCTTATAAAGGGTATCATTATTTTGTCTCGAAATGTGCAACGCATAGAAGAAGACATCGCCGATCCCATTAAGTATATATATATATATATATTCTTGATCAGTATCAAGAGCCGAGTCCATATAGCCAGGTCCGTCTGTCTGCTTCCCTGCCAACTAATCTCTGGATCTTTAAGCTTTCGTCATGAAAACATGCATACGTCCCTCTTTCTGTTGCATACGTAGAAACCAGCTGGATCGCACGACTATATCATATAGCAGACATAGGAACGATCGGTCGAAAAGTAATTTATTGTATCACAAGGTCTACACTTGTTTGTTTTACTATGCTCCCCATTTATATGCTTATTCCTTTTCAAATCGAAACACTATGTCATATAGCTGCTATAGGAACGATCGGTGGAAAATAAAGTTTATGTTTAGCAACATATTCTGTTTTCTCGAAAAGCTTCTCTTTTTCCAGATATCTGCAAGACCGTAAGGCAAATGTCCGCAAGGGTATTAAATCTTCGGCGTTGCGAATATAGCCTTACTTTCTCGTTGTTGTTGCCATCGGTCAGCAACATGTTGTTGCTTCTGCTTCTGCTGCTGCTGTTTGCAACTAGGGTCCATTGCTCCAGTAAATGTTGTTGTTCTCGTTGTGCACTTTATTGATGTAAACGAACAACAAAAATTTGCATTAGAAGTTCATTAGCGAGTGCGGCTAACCGCGAAGGAAGCTCTACAAACAGGCAAAAAATTTCCAACTTCAAGACATGCGGCAAAAAAAAATGGAAGCAAACACTCGAGCCGAAGCTGAAATACCCTTGCAACGCATCGGCATCATACATTTTAAAACGTTTTAATTGGAATGTTTGCAGTTTGCGTAATTCATTAATTTTCTGGAATAGTTATTCTCTCCCCGGTCGGGAACTATGCGTGATATAATACCTAATGTTAAATAACTTAGTTTTTCTTCTGTTTGAAGCATAAGATTAATTGAGATTTATTAAAAAACCAGACTTTTATTAGGGTCTTAAGATGGGTTTCTTAAAGATAAGCCCAAAACTGAGCGTCATGAGAAGACTATTAATACTTTTCGCGATACGTTCTGAATTGTTGGATTGAACCAAATACCTTCGCCCCCATTTGACGGAGAAAGAAAGTTAACTAACCGCAAATGAATTGCAGAAGGCAAAGGTAATGCAACGTTATATGGGAAGGGGATAGAGGGATGGATACATATATAAATAATGTAACTCATATTTGCCGGCCTTGCGCGGTCAAAAGTTTTGCTTCAAATTTTAGACATACATTTTCCACACATTTTCCGACAGTGTAAAATTTTAATACACGCGAAATTTTGTGATATTTACGACTTAAGTTAAAATTCTTCATAGAAAGTTGAAAATGACATTTGACATTCATCTAAGAAAGAAGTAAAACTTTCAATTTTACAGCCTTATTCAACTATCCACATTTCTAACATTTTTTTTGCGAATGTGAAGTATGTTGGCTGTATATTTTCTCATAAGAAATGACAATTTTTACACTTGCAAACAATTTTGAGTTTCGACCCAAGTAGTACGTGTTTTTTTGCGATGATGTGAAGTATGTAAATGTAGCATATGTTGTGCATAGTGGAATCAGGCATAAATGTTACAAATGTTGCGCATAATCTTGGTATCAGGCATAAATGTTAGAAATGATGCGCATAGTAAAATCAGGCTAATAGTCTCGTCGTAAGAATTTTGAAGCCGATAAATAGAGTTTTCGTCTCTCATCTTATATCGAACATCATCTTACATCGAAACGGGTGGATTAGAATGAATTTGTCTAAAGATTTCAATTCCCATTTTATACAGAAATGGATGAATTTTTCAAAAAGTGATGAATATCTCTCAAGTGCATTTGAAGAGATTTCTTTGAGATTTCTTTTTCGCTATTTAAGCGTGAGAGACTTACATAAAGTACCTACAGTAAGTTAGTCAGTCAATCAATCAAGATAAACATTTTTGTAAGTACAGTACGCCCTCGCTTAACAAAATCTATGAAAATCGAGTCAACTGGAGAAACTTACATGTGGTTCAGTTTCACTGCTAAAATGTATATTTTGCTGCACAGTGAAGAAAACCCCGCGAAATCGTGCGTATAGAGGATTGTGTTGAGCGAGGGCGTACTGTACATATGTATGTATTCAAGTAAGGTCCCTCTCCCGTTCTCCCCTTTCACCCAAGAGCTGGCCACTTGTTGCTATGTCAACGCTTTGTTTTCTGTATAAAGCGCCCGCTGCCTGTATTTGTTGTTATTGTTATTTGTTTGTTTTTCGTCAGCTGCATATAAAACGGAAGCCAGCAGAACAAATAAATAATTTGAGTACATTTACATTCAAAATGATTCACAATTGCAGGCCCCATCGCATTCATTAATGCCAAATTGCTGCCTCAGCATTTGGAGAGTAGCTTATTTTTTTTTTTTTTTGAGATCACAAAGTTTATCATTAAATTAAATTGGAAATAGTTAATGCCGCTATCGTTAGCATTTGACTTGGTGCATGGCAAAACAATTTTCAGAAGTTTTTCAGCTAATTAAAAGCACTTCTACACGATTATTAAGAGAATCCGCGGGCGCTGCCGTCTTTTGATGTTTAAGCACCAACATAATTGGCTTTCATGGAAATTTATAGGCACCTTCTTTAGTTGTAACGTTATCTGCAGCTGTCGATGCACATGTCTGTATGTATGTTGCGTAATTGGAGATTCAATTTTGTATGCATGCCGCGGACGATCAGAACCATGCCCCTTTTGCGCATCCATATTAATTAAAGACTTCCGGCCGAGCCGGCGCGAACGGACGTCTTTTGTTGCAATCATTGTCTTGGCGAGATAGACAACTTTCCGGGGGTAGGGGCGATGCATTGGCCAGTGCTGGACAACGACCCGAAAGGGGGTTGCTACGGGGTCGATGGGATCTAGGTAGCTAGCGAAGTCTCAGCTTTTGATTTCGAAGTAAAGGGATGCTGCAGACAAGTCAAAGGCACAACCGTGGCATTTGAGCAGAGTTCAATGAACCAATTTAACAACCAGAAGGTCGTAATCCTCTTAACTAAGACCTGAGAGAGAGAGGCGCCTCAAACGACCTCAACCCGTCGACATATCTACGAGGCGAAACATTTAAATATCTCCTTCCCCTTCGTTGTAAATATCCCTCTTGCTAATTTCTTATAAGTTACATATTTGTAACTATACCTTCTTCCCTCATATGGATGAGGAAGGATATCAGAAGCAAAGTAAACCTGATTAAAATTACAAAAATAAACAGAACTAGCCTGGTTTTATTTTCCCTTTGCGAATTCCGTTTAAATAGTATTTGTTTTAATTTATCCAGTGCAAAGCTACGTCTTAAAGGTTTTTCTCTAATTTACCAACACTGCTTTACGAAGACTCTTTAACAGCATTGCGTTAACAACACTGATTTCACAATCATTTTATGCATTCTAAATGCATAAATAATAATTTTAATTATAATAATAAAAATAACCATAAAAATCGTATTTATAACGTTTTATGCATTGAAAATATCATTTTTTGGTTTTGCGCAAATTTTAACAGCTGTTTGGGCCATTCTTACATACGCACACACATGCACGCGCATGTACACATACACGCACATGCATGCATGTAATGCCCATGCACATATTTATACTGACCTTTGGCAGATCACGAATGTGATTCGCATCCAAAAAGAGTTCCTCGAGGGTTCGCGAGTAGCGTAAAATTTCCTCCGGCACCTGGGGCAGCGAACAGTGGCGTTTGTCCACGAATTCCACCTGCCTGTTGCAGCCTTTGAATATTGGAATGCACTTGAACATGGTTGTTGTTGTTGTTGCTGGCTGTTGATGACGTATTTCGTGGTTGTCGTTTTAGGCGTCGTTGTTTTTGCTTTTGCTGTTGCTGTTGGTGTTGGTGTCTTTGCACAACAACAACACAAACACAGAGCGTAACGTTTGCAGCATCTGTTGCAAACGCACACACAATTATACACACACACACACACGGAAACGGACACACAGAAAGAAAGAGACAGAGACAGGCACGCGCAGTTTTTGGTTGCCTGGCCTGGCCCTGCGCTACGTTTCTTTTATTTTCTTCGTTTGTTGTTGTTGTTGTTGTTGTACTTTTTGTGGGTTTTACTTTTCTTTCACTTTTATCGCACACGTTTTGGCAACATTTTGCGCTAATTTACTGCAATTACAATTTTAAAACACATTACACTTTGCATTCGTATTTTTTTTTATTCGCGTTACGAAAAGGTAACTAAAGGCAAGAAGAAGAGCAGGCAGCAGCACACGTGTCAAAAAAAATGCCTTGCCTTCGCCTGTCCTTGCCCAACACTTATTGTTGTTTTTGTAACTCCGGAGAGCGACAGAGCGAGAGAGCGGGAGAGCATGAGCGTGTGCGAGCGCGCAAACCGACTCTAGGCCTAACGAAGTTTTGCTTGCGTAGCGCTATCCTCTTGTATGTGTGTGTGAGTGTGCCCGTATGAGTTAAATAAGCGTAATAGGAAAAATAATGAATAATAATAAATTCTAATTGGCACTTGTGTCTTCGTGTTGTTGTTGTTGCGGCTGTTGATGTCCGGCTTTTACTCGCGCACTTTGGCCACATTTTATCACGTATCACAAGTTTTGATACGAAGCAATCGCAACATTTGTTGCTTCTTCCACCACTACACACACACACACACACACACACACACAGAAAAACGAGAAAAAGCCAAGCAAAAACAACTCACAATGACACTTGACTGGTGCGCGGCGGCCGCTTGCGAACGGGCTTAGAATGAGAGAAGCGTAAAAGAGTGCCCAAAGCGTAGTTGATGCAAAGCAAAAGCAAAAGCAAAAGCAGTAGCGACGCACCAAGCACACACACACACACAAACACACACACACTGAACTCCACTTGGGTCGAAAATTTCAACGAAATAAAAGTGGAAAATTATAATAAACACGGCCAACAACGACGACACACCCAAACACAAGCACGCACACACACACACACACACACACACACACACACACGCACGCATAGGTCCAAAGCCGGGCATGGGAATTGAAACAATTGTGAGCTCGCTTTTGGTGCCACTGTGCAGCGTATGTTTTGGAATTTACACACACACACACGCACACACTGGCACTGCGCAACAACAAAGTGCTGGTCATAGGCGGCTACACACAACGAAAACGACTACAATATACAAAACGAGGCAAGCGGCGTCGTCGCTGAGCAAGGCGCCAGTTTGCACAAATTTTTTTCTTTTTCGCACGCTTCATTTGGCCACTTACGTTTGCTGCGGCTGCGAGTGCACTGCGCTTAACAGAAAATTATGAATATTAACTGTACAGAGGCGGCAAAAAACAACTTGCTAGCATGCAAATACATACACACACGCGCGCACACAAATGGCGTTTACACAAATCAACGTATACGAAATTTACGGAGCGCAGCGCCTGTTCACATCAACCGCTCGCGACAAAAACAATTCGGCAACTAATCGGTGTGACCAATGTGACAAATCACCAAAAATAACTAAATCCACATAAAAACAGTGTGGCTGCGCCGTGAAATCGAACTATTCGATAGGCTCTGTTAACTATCACATATCGATACATTAAATGTTAATTAACATATGTGTTAGCGAAATGAGCTCTACAGCATTACAGGCTGTTAAACTCAAAAAGGCACTGTTCAATTACAGGTGTATGTAAACGCAGCGGTGTTAAGTTGGCCACAATTTCGCTGCAGTGCTGCCAAATGTATTCAGCAATGCGCGGGCGTTTGAATTTAAATGCCGTTAAAATAAAGGCAAAATTATTTAGAGCTGAGTTTGGTGAAAACATCTTAGAAAATGGAGAATAGAGACTTCTAAAATTTCTTGAGCTTCTAACATTTCCTGTTAGCCCAACAAACGTATTTTAGCGATTGCATCGGTTCTGCAACCTTTCATTTCACAATTATTAATCGAAGTTTCACCTGGCAAATGGAATATTTTAAAAATATAATACAGAATATACCACATAAGAAGGGAAGGCTTTGCTGTATACAACTAATCTGAGTCCCCCCTGGATTCAATTCTCGTTAAAACCGACTGCAAGCTGGTTAGGCTCAAAATCGGCTTGCAGCCTTTATTGTGCTGAGAATCTGTTCTAATGCGCACTCGGCATAAATAGATTGCATAATGCTGCGAACGCTTGTTGGCCGAAAGATTTTCAAGAGCTGTTCGCATTGCGAACTTTGCAAAAATGTTGCCTGCTTTTAGGGGCAGGTGCATATTTGGGCACGGGCAAGCGATCTTGAGAGACAACAAATAAGGCAAACAAGCGGCGACTGCAAACAAAGCAAATGCAACCTCAGCGCAGACAATGTTGTTTGTGTCCTTGTTGTTATTGTTGTTGTTGTTGTTGTTGTTGCTGCCAGCGACAAACACAGCTGTCGAGTGCGGCGCTTAAATAGAAAGTAAATTGCAACTCTTTGCTTTGCTAATTTTACGGCGACGCCTCGACAATTGTGTGGGCGTGTTGAGAAACAGACAGACAGACAGACAGAGAAAGGGAGAGAGAGAGCGCGATAGAGAGAGAGAGAGAAACAACAAGGGCGTGGGCGTGGCTGTGCACTTGCTGCTTATTATTTGCACTCGGCAAGGCCAGAAGCATAATAAATTGAGAGAAAACGGCTCGCACTTGGAAATCTTTTATTCATGAATGCCGCCGCCCCCTTCCCCCCCCCTCCAGCCAGCCCATAAAAATTGCACAATTTGAAGAGCCACCGCACAGCACGACAGGCGACGGCGACGGCGTCGGCAAGGGGGCGGCTGAGGGAGACGCAGACATTTGGCCAAAAACGAGAAACGTGAAAAAAAAAATGGTAAGCGCCTCAAGGATTTCGGCAATGGGGCTTGCTCCTGACGCTGCGGCTATATTTGGACTGGCTGCTGCAGGCGATAGTTGCATAAATCATAAAAGCGCCTGCCAATGTTCTTCTTGTTGTTGTTGTTGGCGCTGCGAGCAGAAGGACTTTACGGCACTTAAGAGAGAGTCACCAAGTATCTGAATTTGATTGCGCGGCCGCAACGTCTGCGTTGGCCCTGGCTAACTCCTTGCCTGCTGCAGCCGAATGCTTTTGCCTTTTATTTATGAGGGTTTGAGCCGTGGCCCCCGACCACTTGCACATTTAATATGCACGCTCAGACACAGACAGTTCAGCTTTATTGTGTTCAAATTGCTTTGCCTACAACGCGGCATCCACTTGGCCAGGCCCCAAGGAGCAGCCGGAATGGGTTTATGCAACAAGTTCTCGACACCCCCACCCCCGTCCGGGCCGCATCAGATGTTTATTTGTAAACGGCTTGCAACAGTTCCTGGTGCAGTTGGGCTCGGCGTCAGCGGACAGCAGCTTTCCCTTTCACGCAAATTTATCGTTCACATGTAAATGACAAAAGCGGAAAATTATGTGCAAAAGTTGTTATCAAACAAAATTCACAAAAATATATAGACTAATTCGCAGCAATAATTCTTTCATTCACTTTCTTCAACAAGTTTCACTTTTGATATTATAAAAATTTAAGAAATTATAAAAATTATATACAAATACAAATATAATTATTTCTTTCTCGTTTCACATGATAACAAAAAATAATTTTATTTAAATATTTTGTAATTTTAGACATATTTGTTGCGAATTTGTGAAAAAAGTGCACTCAATTAAATTTATTTTGACAAAATTATAACAAAACTAATGAAGTTTTCTATAATGAAAAACCAAAACTGTAAAATTATATCAATCGCTTGCAGATTTATGTTTTAACAATCAAATATGAAATTGATATTTTACCCTGCATCCGTTAAGCCTGAGCAGGCAGGGTATATTGGTTTTGCTTGAATGTTAAAGGCAAGCAAAGCGATGCATTCTCTAAGCTAAAAAATAGCCCAGGGTATGTGATATTTCATCAGAGAATAACAAACGCAGCTATTAAAAGCGTATTTTCTATAGAGTGTGTTTAGATAGAAGTTACAGAGCATTTGCTAGTCGTGCATTCTCCAGCCAAGAGCCAGCTAACTTGTTTTATTTAACAGCTGGCAGCAAATATTTTGCAAGACATATGTTTTTGCTGGCGCAACATAATGCGAATGGCTGCGAATTTATTTGTGCCCATTCGATTTAATTGTTTATTTATTTTAATGGGCTTTTCCGAACTGGATCTACCTATTAATTTGGCTTGGTCTTGGTCTTGGTCTTACGATCGCATCTCACGCCCCATTTCAGATTATTAGCTGGCGCTAAACGGTACTCGAGAAGCTTGAACCGACACCCCCCCCCTCCCTACCTCCCCCTGGCACGCCCAGCCGCCCCCTGTGAGCCAGGCACTTAATTTATGACTGGGCCAGCAATAATTCAAAGTCATAGGCCTCCGGAGACCATTCAGAGCACTCGACCGCCAGCACGAGGGTCTGGCACACCTTGTAGTTGGGCTGCCCGCTGGCAATATTGTGGCTAAGGAATTTTTAATTAAAATATTAAAGCCTCGACCGTAAGGTGTTTTTTAATCTTGCAAATTGTTTTAATTGTTATTTAGGATTTGTTGTTTTCGTGTGGCGCGCGATTTATGAGCGCCTAATTACCGCAGACAGCGCTGCCCATTTCATGCTCCTTCTATATGTACTCGATTGTAAATAAAATATTAATTTATACAGATATACATATATCTATATATATGTTGGTTTTTCTCAAAGCCGCCTCATATAATTACCATATTTTCAAATTATCATACGCCAAGTGCGCCGGGGCCATGGCCATGGCCATTAAAGCTAATTGTATGCGTGTGTCTTGGCCCTCGGGGGCTCGGGACGGAGTCTGAGTCCGAAAGCCGGAAAGCCAAAAAGATGCGCAGATGCGTAGATGTAGCTGGTCGGTCGGTGATTTATATTTAATTGTTGTCATTATGGTCGTCAAAATAGCGGTCGGGCATCTGTACACCTACGCGTTTTTAATGCCAGCCGCGAACAGAGACAACACGCAGCAGCAATTAATTCAATTTGGCGACCTGCGACATCAAGCAATGTGTGGAGTAGTCGCCGCTTGTTTATTGTCGTCTCTTGATGCTCGAAGCGTGTAAATATGCTTAAGAAGGGCCAATTGTTGACAAAAGTGTGCGAAAACTTGGCCATGCAGCCGGCCAGGCACTGCAAGAGCCTGGCGCAGAGCTCTCTTAAGCTTTATTTAAGAGCAAACGTTGCGGCATTGAAACATTATTGCTGCCACTTCCTCTCCCACTCTCTCTCTCTCTCTCTCTCTCTCTCTCTCTCTCTCTCTCTTTTGTTTCGTTTCCGTTTCCGCTTGCGTTTCGCTTTTCATTTTGTTGCCACTGCAGCTCAGTTGTTGGCCAGCTTTGCTGCCGTTCGGCAGCAGTTGACTTTACACGAACTTTGACATTCCTCTAAGGTTGCCCACAATTGAAAGAGTGCAAAGTCAAACTGGAAGTTGTTTATATTTAGTATTTCAATTAATAGCTAATTACACTCCTGATCGTTGTGGAAAACCTCAAGACTTTTTTTATCACAACACAAAAGCGTTTCATAACTGAAACGTCTTGACAATGACAGCTTTAAGCCAATTTAACAATATGCTTTTACTTTTCAGTTCATTTACCGTGAAAATGTATGTAAACAAATTCATCAGTTTACATTTCACAGAGCAGGAAATTTGCTTTGTATTGTTCAATCTAAAATGAAATCAGATAAATAGTGAATTGTCCTTCTAAGAACCAAATTGCATTCGTTTACCTGACGCACCTGTCGTTTCTTCAATGGGCTTTAAAGGGCTTTAATCAAGGTAAAATGACATGCAAATAAAGCTGCTCGAGTCGAAAATGCCACACTAGAAGATAGCCTAAACACAACTGCGAACTGCCATTGTCATTCTTCGAAATTCTATATTTATTAAATTATTAATATACTTTACTCACACAAATATCTCTATCTCTATCTCTATATCTATCTCTATCTCTATCTCTATCTCTATCTCTATCTCTATCTCTATCTCTATCTCTATCTCTATCTCTATCTCTATCTCTATCTCTATCTCTATCTCTATCTCTATCTCTATCTCTATCTCTATCTCTATCTCTATCTCTATCTCTATCTCTATCTCTATCTCTATCTATCTCTATCTCTATCTCTATCTCTATCTCTATCTCTATCTCTATCTCTATCTCTATCTCTATCTCTATCTCTATCTCTATCTCTATCTCTATCTCTATCTCTATCTCTATCTCTATCTCTATCTCTATCTCTATCTCTATCTCTATCTCTATCTCTATCTCTATCTCTATCTCTATCTCTATCTCTATCTCTATCTCTATCTCTATCTCTATCTATCTCTATCTCTATCTCTATCTCTATCTCTATCTCTATCTCTATCTCTATCTCTATCTCTATCTCTATCTCTATCTCTATCTCTATCTCTATCTCTATCTCTATCTCTATCTCTATCTCTATCTCTATCTCT